CTTTTTTTTTTCTAAGTATATATATCTTTTGATAAATATTATTTTTTAGCTTGTCTTGTTTTATAGATATGATTCGTTACGAATCCGATGTTTTGTATTAAGCTAGTTATCTATGTCGAATATCATGTATATCACGTCTCGATTTTTTATTCAGAACACGATTTGCGTGTTAAAACGTGAGTTATTTTATATGTAATTATCTTTCATTAGTGATTTAAAACGGAAACAATCATGACGCTATTTTAAGTACCGTTCAATATAGAATGAATTATTTCATCTTGTATATTTAGAAAACTGATTATGGAGAATATAGTATTTTTACTAACGATAGAGGTATTTTTTCCAATGCAAAACATTTCAATACTTTTACGGCAGAGTACGTTTCTATCGCCATAGAGAGTGTAGAAGCAAGAGTACAGAAAACATTCCGTCAACTGAAATGTAGCGCATACGTACATTCATACGTAGAATAATGGCATTGTCATTTAATAAATTGGGATCATGACACTTTTATTTCGACTGATTACACATTTCGTATCTGTACTTGCTTTGTTTCACAAATGATAGATTCTGTGAAATTCTTAAGATCTCTATACTTCTCTGCAATCATTTGCAATAATTCATCAGCTAGGAACAAAGGAACAAAAGAAAAAGGTAATACCATAGAATGAAATTATGCAAGAAAATCAACCTCGCTGAGATACGTATCATTGGCGTTATTGTTAGTATTAAATTTCGTAGCTGCGTATCGCGTGACTTAGTAATAAGTACTCGAAATTTTAAGTAATCATGAGCCGATTGTTCAAGTGTATTAAAACTCGTGTTATGGATCGCAGAGAAACGAGGCCTTCCCGCCCGCTATTATCGAAGCGAAAAGCACGCCATTCACGTGACTTTAATCCTAAAATAGAAAAGTATTATATCAATTTCCAACTCGAGTAATAAGAAGCGACGTTGCTCATAGACTCAATCCAGGCACGAACATACGATCGATATTCGTATTTAATTGAGTCAAGTTTCTTCGATCACGAGGTTCAAGTGTATACTCAGAAGAATCGTAGAATTGCTAGAACGAGTATCGCTTTTATCGTACTCAAAGTTCCGTTTTACACTCGTTACTATCGTTAAGTAGGAAAGAAATCGTGTAACATATGTAAATACATTGTCAACTTAGATATATAATGATAATATAAATGTAATAACTGATAATGTTCAGGCTCGTATGCGCCGCATTACTTTTTAAGAGACAAGAGTGAATCAAGTTATGCTTGAAAGAAGCAGTCTGTGCATTCTCGTAAAAAAAAAAAAAAAAAAAAAAAAAGGGAAAAAAAAAAGGTCAATTCTAAAGAAACGATTATTTCCGTTGATCGTATTCGTGGCAATATTGGTAACTATATAGAAAAATTTTTAATTTGAAATTAAAAAACAAAGCGGATGAATTAAAATTTCAATAATTCAGTCCTTGATTTCACACTGATCGTGCAATTATTAAAGTGTAATTAGAATACAATTTTTCGACGCGAATTTTGCCCATGAATTTGTAAGTATGTAGGGCAATTGCGTCGTGTGCCATCAATGGTTACTTAAAAGGCTATTTTTAATGGTACGTCGACTGCGAGTGAAAATGCAAATTCGTTTAGCAATTTCCTATTTCACCGGAGAAAAGATGCGAATGTTCGCGAAGAAAAAGAAGAAGAGGAAGAAAAAGAAGAAGAAAAAGAAAAAGAAACTGTATCTTTGCTTACCGCGTTCCAGCCGACAATTGTTTCCGATGTAATTAGCAACCGACTGATAGTCGCCTGTACGCTCTTTATATTATACCTATACGGTCGTGTACAGTAGTTAGTGTGCTGATTGTTTTGTAAGATTTGTTTGTTTTCTTTTTTCTATACAATAAAATATTGCTTAATGTCTGTTGCCTGTCTCAATCGAGTTTTCCGTGGTTAACGAGCAATCCTTACAAGTGTGAAGATTGATATTTCGATAGGAATGCAATTGTTAAACGAGGTCTTTTGTCGAAGTCGAAAATAATAATATTGTTAGAAAGAGATATTTGATCCATTATACGATCTTTATTAACAATTTAATTTAACTTATATATACAATTATATATAATACCTTAAAAATTCAACAAACCGATATCAACAATAGGTTAGAATAACGAGATCTATTTATTATTCCTCGTCGCACCTCGAAAGTGGAAAGTGTTAACAGTTTGTCTCGTTGAATAATCAAGATATTACGTTCTAGGTATATTGGAGATCCGGTGAACTATACATATTAGCCATCGATTTTATTCGACAGCTGACAGAAATAGTTTGGTACTGCAAATAAAGGTTAGACATCTTTCTTGTACGATAAAGGACAATAATTCGTTAATAAATAGCTGAATAAATAAAATTAAAAAATAAAAGAGAAAGAGAGAGAGAGAGAGAAATTATTTCAGGTTAGTATTCCTTTCCCGTGTTATCGTGTCGATTACATCGTCTACTATCTGCGAAGTCATTACATTACGCTCGTTCGTTATTGGAAGTTGTTTCCTGGATCGGTAAAGAATGCGGTAAACGGTGACACGTTAACCATGATTCAGTCAACTAATCATACCAGGTAGTTTACAAGTCCAACTTAGCATTTATACTATTCCCAATCAAACAATATCGGATATAATGTTTGCGTGTTCGAGAAAACAACTTTATCAAATGACGTGATAAACGATTATGGCCAAAACTAGATACAACAAGTTAAATACGATCGTTTGACCGGTGTTGACGGGGGGCATTGATATTGAATTTTTACCATGTTGGTGATGATTTGTTTCAGAGGTCGAATTCGTTCGTGTAAAATCCTTAACGTGTACGTGTCCTTCGTGCGGAGATCTCTTCGATCTTTCGACCAGTGTCAATCTAGTGTTCTTCGTAGTTCGTGGCATCGAGAGATCCGACGACGACGGCGACGACAGGCGACGCTTATCGAGCTGAGAATGATCGTCGAACGATCGTACCTCGCCCGGAATAGGAGGTGGTAGCTCCCCTTTAAACCTTCCGAATTGTGGCGTTCTGCTGAGAACGTCCGAGGACAGCTTGCCCTTGGACTGTTCCTCGACGCCAGAAATGGATCTGACCAGGCTGGAATCCTTCAACATTTTTCCATCGAAGGTTATCAACACGCCGGAGGAGGGAGGCGAGGGAAAGGGAGAGGGTGGCGGATCGTTGTTGGAAAAGGGATTGGAAATCGGTGGCAAGTAATGGACGTTCATCCTGTCGGCGGCAGTTTCCATGTCATCCGTTTCCGTCGGACGTGGTTTACCATTGGCGGACTTTTTCCTCGATTTCTTGACCACTGTAGCCACTGTGGGAACGGGCGGGGAAGGTATGAAGACCGGCTCGAAGTTGTCGACTGGTTTATGATTTATGGAAGTTTCTCGAGCATCTTCTTCTTCTTCTTCTTCTTCCTTTTCCTCCTCCTCCTCTTCTTTTTGCTCCAGTTTCTCGGAACTTCTCCTTTGAGCCACGCTCTCAACGTTTCTGATGATAGGTTTAAACCCGCTCTCGATCACTATAGAATCTGGATCGAATCCCGTGTTTCTCGCAGGTTTTATAGGAGTGACGAAAATGTCGGGGGCGTCGAAGCTCGACGTTTTAGTTTCGAGCTTGGCCCGCTCGATTTTCTTCAGCTTCGCGATCTGCAGGTTATCCTGGTTACCCGGCGGGGGTCGCTCCGCCGTTCTCCTTCCCGTGTAAGTGGAGGAGGACGGGGAGGGGGGTCTGTACACGGTCTTCTTACGTTCCATGAAGATCGATCTTGGCGGTAGGGCGAGGGTGGGCTGGGGCATCGTATGGGCGGTCTGCAACATCGGTCGACGTGTCAACACCGGTCTCTTGACGAGCATCAGTTGATTCCTCTGGTCCGGTTGGTTGTTGTATTGATAATGATCACGGGGGAGGGGGGGTGGGTGATAAAGATGATGATAATTGGTGGCGTAATGGTGAGGCACCGGCCTCGAATACGGGATCTGTGGGCTGGAGGTAACCGGATATACGTATTTCGTCCCGTGGCTCAGTGGTCGTGGATTATCTGCAACGAGGTTAGACAATTGCTGGTTAGAGGATTGTCGAAGGAGCTCTGGTTGGATCTCCATGATTTGATGTCGGCCAGGTGTATAGGAGGGTGTCAGCCTCGTGACTCCCATCGATTGTTCGCGATAGATCGGTGCGAGTTGATGTTGTTGTTGTTGTTGTTGTTGTTGTTGTAGTTGATGATGATAATGATGATTATAATGATGATGATGATGGTGATTGTAATAATACGGCTGGACGAGATCTTGGTCGAGGTGCGCGTGACGATGGGGCTCCTTCACGCGTACCTCGTGACGATTGGGCATTGACGCGGCCAGGCCTGGCGCGTTGTACGAAGCTTTCGAGACGAGTGATGGCTCCTCGTACGGCGACGGTGATGATTTCAAGCGCAGGTAATTGTTGTTGTTGTTGTTGTTAGCGGTCGTTAGTAACTGCGTGTATGGTGTGCTTAGCTTGTCAAGGTTAGTCGCTTGATGATAAGAGTAACGAAGCCCGTATTCACCAAGGGGATGATGATGATGATGATGATGAGGAGGAGGATGCTGCTGAAGGAACTCCGCCGTTGGCGTTACCTTGCTTGCCTCGCGGATGCTGGGGCTGATCACGAGATCCTCCCTCCCCTCTTCCTTCTTCG